GGTGAGTTAGGGTGGACCCAAGTGCTTGTTTGTGGCCCATTCTCCATAGTCCTTTCATAGACTTTTGTACTTCTAAAATAACCCAGTAAGTTCCATGAAATCATGGGTTAAATGAGGTACTTTCTAATTCTGTTAAAATGGTTTATTGCCTTTTGAAAGGATGTAATGGTCTTGCTGGAGAGAATGTCAGGCACCACATGATACAAACTTCATTTTCTATAGACAAGGAAAACTGAAGAATGAAGGCACTTGCTACAGTTTATGCAGCTAATCAGACAAGAGCTCGAATTAGACACCTGGCTTATGGCTCATAGAAGTACACACATGCAGCCAGGGATCGTGGGGAAGGAACCCTGCAACACTGCATCATGTCACATAAGTCAGCTTGGAGGAATACATTATCCTGTGGGGACAACGTAGCAAATGGCAAGTATGCCACAAAAAGATAATTTAAACTTAGCCGGAAATGTGATCCAATCAGAACAAGGATGTGGTAGCAGGTAAATTCCAGACTGCCAGATCTTGAGGGTTGCAGTCTTTCAAATAATCTTGTTTTTCAGATCGTCAAAAGACAAAGAAAATGCTCCTCAGATTCTGATTATCCATTCCTGTGGCAGGAAATTCTGAGCACCTTTGTGTGGTCAATACTGGGCTCTTTGCTATGTACAGAAAGGTGGAACTCCCTGCCTCAGAGGGGAATGTGTCACATGGTGAAGCACATAAAGAAAACTTAGTTCTAGGAGGTGTGACAACATAGAAAGTGCTGTGGGAAAAATAAGACAGAAATGAAAGAGACCAAAGAAGGACAAATACACATAACTCTAAGTCAGATGGCATCAGGGACATGTGAAAGGGGGAGGAATGCATGCACCATGTGTGCATGTGGGGGGATAGAAAGAGCAAGGAAGAGGGACATGTTTTATGTCTTGCTGGAGGAACAGTAAGGAAGCTGTGATTGGGGCTAGATGAAGAGATCAAAAAATACTTGGTTTTCTGTGATGGTCTCCGTTTGTTAAAAGGAGAAGGTTATTTGCTGATGAGTAAGAGCTACACCTATCTATGGGTGTAAAGATAACGTTTTAGAATGTAGTTTTGCATTCCAGCCTAGTAGATTGGGGGTACATAGGAGGTTGATCTATGATCTCACTAGCCCTGGATAATTGGCTAGAGTTCTAATACCAGGCAAGAGTTTCCTTCTATTGAGTGGATAGTGAGTCCAATTAGACGACTCTTGGGGACTACCAACATATGAGTGTCCCTATTGTACCACTAGAGCTATCTTGCCACACTGGTCATTGTTGTGGTTATAAGTAAAGAGGACTATTGATTTCTTCCCTGTCTGAGCAGCCTGCATAATACTTTCTGGTACTATGAAGGGCAAACCATGGGAAGGAGGCATTCAAGTTAGAGCCAGCTCGAATAATCCAAGTCCTACGTTCTAAGTACATGATATCCTCAGCATACTTCAACATCTGAGAGGTAACCAAGAGCAACAGCAGTAGTTTATATTGTTTGGGGAGTTACTTGGGCTCACCAACAACCCAAACAAAGGTTTCTCATGTGTGGTATAGAGGTCTTTGTTAGATAGTTGTCTTAGTTAGGATTTCTTTGTTGTGATAAAACACCATGGCCAAAAGCAACTTGGGAAGGAAAGGGTTTATTTTAGCTTACAATTTATAATCCATTATCAGATAAAGCCAAGGCAGGAATTTAAGGGAGGAACTGAAACAGAAACCACAGAGGAACACTGTCCACCGGCTCACTCATGACTTGCTTAGCCTTCCTCTTGACTAATCAGGTTCACTTGCCTGGGGAGACATATCCCAAGTGGTTTGTGCCTATCCCTTCAATAACTAGTCAAGGAAGTGCCTCACAAATTTGTCCACAGGCCAATATATGGAGACATTTTCCTTAATCGAGGTTCCATCTTCTCAAATGATTCTGGCTTTTGTTAGTTGACAAAAAAAAAAAAACCAACAAGGACAGTCTGTGACTCCTGTGGGGAGCATTGTAAGCCTAGGTGGTAGAACTTTGCAAAGTGTGTGTGTGTGTGTGTGTGTGTGTGTGTGTGTGTGTGTGAGAGAGAGAGAGAGAGAGAGAGAGATGCATATATATATATATATATCTTAACATGTATATAGTAGTATATGTAAAAATAAAATGATTCATTAAGACTCTTAGTGTTTATTGTCCCTTTTAATTCTCCTTCTATATTGACCTCCCTCCCCTCTTCTCAATGAGAGCCCCCTCCCCACTTTCCCCATTAATATCACTTATGTACTGCTAACCCCCCCACTTCCTCACCTACCATATAGGCACTTAACACTTCCCTAGTTTTTGAGGTTACTCTGGGTTATAGACTCACATCTGAAGATTTGGCACTAGGAACTACATTGTCTTTCTGGGAGTGGGATACCTCACTCAATATGATCTTTCCTAGATCCATCCATTTACCTAAACATTTCATGATTTTATTTTTCTTTACAGCTGTATAGAATCCTGTGGTGTGTATACACCATGTTTTCATTTTCTATCCATCTGTTGAAGAACACTTAGGTTGTTTCCATTTCCTAGCTATTGTGACTAGGGCGGCAATGAACACAACTGTGCAAGTATCTGTGGAGTAGGATGTTGAGTCCTCTGGGCATATGCCAAGAGTTGCATAGCTGGGTCATATGATAGATTTATTTTGGCATTTTGAAGAATCTACACGTTTATTTCCAGAGTGGCTGTACCAGTTTCATTCCCACCAACAGTGAATGAGGGTCCTTCTTTTCCCCACATCCTTGCCAGCATTTGTTGTCAGTCATTTGGTAGATCTTAGCCATTCTGACAGGGGGTGAAATAAAATCTCCAAGTTGTTTTAATTTTTATTTCCCTAACTGCTAAGGACGGGCAACACTTTCTAAATCTCTTAACTGGTTTTACTCTTCTGTTGATCTCTAGCCTACTTTTTAGTTTAATGATTTGTTTTCTTGGCTTTTGAGTTCTTTGTATACTCTGGGCATTAATTCTTTGTACATATGTAGCACACAGAAAACCTCATCTGGACATAATACAGTTCCATGGATGAATACATTTACAATGTAACTCCTGTACCTGTGGCTCAGGGAGCATCACCAAAGAGGAGGTGGAAAGATTGTAAGAGCCAGAGGACCAGGGAGTCTGCTGTGAGATTGTCTCCTACAAAGGGCTAAATAAACAAGACTTGAACAATGACAATACCAAAAGGGATGCTAACTCAGAAGGGACAAAATCTCATGGGGTCCCACCCCTAGACAAAGAACCACAGGCAACTAATGATTACTGAGAGAGAGAATCAGCCTCTCCTAGGATGAGCCCCCTAATTGGTTATCCAATGTAAAGTGGCCAGCCCTGAAATCATACATACATAAACAACAAAAAACAAACTTATCAGGATATATTTGTGTATATATATGTATATGTGTGTGCACATACATACATGCATGCATGCACACATGCAATGATGAAACAAAAGTTAGGCTTGAAAAGGGGCATAGGGAGAAGTGGGGGGATCATGGGAGGAAATAAAGGCAGAATTTCTGTAAATTATACCTTAAGTGAGAAATACTTTAAAAATAGTTGGCTGTGGAACCAGAGGAGAAAGGAAAAACCAGGTCACATGGGGGCCTTGCAGACCACTTGCCATGAGCACCCTAAGACAGAAACATAAACAGACATTTGTATTTTCCCACAAGGCTAGATTTATTAAACAGTAATGAGTTAACAAATTTTAGCTGTTCCAATGACAGCGATTTGTCATAAAACCCTACCTAACTTGGTAGCCTCACTGAGATGAATGCAGGTTCTCTTATTCCAGTCTTAATTACTAATATTAGGTCTCCCATCACACAGCACACTGTAAGTATATCTGCACATCTGTCTTCATATATATATATGGGTTACACAATGAGTACAAACCAAAGAGGCTGCAGGGGAGTTCAAGAGGCTTCAGAAGTGATCTGAGAAGGAGTGTGTGTAGATAAGATAAGGAACCAAACCGGTGTAGGAAGGAGCTGCTGCTGCTGCTGCTGCTGCTGCTGGAGTTGGCTTTGAGAGCAAAACTGAGCTGGGAGATGAAAGGCCAAACCTGGGTCTGAGAACAGGATACAGAGCGTTTAGATCCAGGTCCCAGTGAGTGACTAGGTAGACGAACAAGCAGTAGAGATGACCACGTCAGTGAAGAGAGGAGGGAAACTGAGCTGACCAAAGCTCCAGGGACAATTGGGAGTCCTCTTCTTGCCGTCTTTGATGCCCACTGCAGGTATCTGATGATGATCACGTGGGACCTTGTCATCATAATGGTAGGTGTCTATCATTTAATGGGATTCAGGTAAGAGTGTTATAGTCCTTCCTTGGTCTGTAGTGTGTGGTACAATAAATACTATTTTAAGGGGTCTGACTTTTGTCTATGCTGCATTTGTTTAGCTCTGTAAAGCTGTGATTCTTTACCTGTCTGAAACACCCAATGGTCTAATGAAAAAGGGAATGGCCAATAATGAGACGGAAACAAGGATAGGTGTGGCTGGCAGGCAGAGAGTATAAATAGGAGGAGAAGCAAGGGGACAAGGAGAGGAGAATGTCAGGGGTCAGCCACCCAGCTACACAGTAATCCACAGAGTAAGAGTAAGATTTAAGGAAGTAAGAGAACAGGAAAAGCCTAGAGGCAAAGGTAGATGGGATAATTCGTGTTTGAAAAAAATGATGGCTAGAAAAAGTGAAGCTAAGACTGGGCATTCATTAACTAAGAATAGGCCTCCATGTGTGATTTATTTGTGAGCTGGGTGGCAGGCCCCTCAAAAAAAAGGCCTAAGGAATAAAGCATTTAACACAGCAGTAGTGTTTGTTAATTCCTAGGCTTAGTTTCTCTAGTATGGTGTTAGTATGCCCAAATGCCTCTATAGTCTTAATTTTCCCCAAATGAACGTACAAGGTGTTTCTCTTTCTACTCTCAGGAACGAGTCATGTGTCAGTCTGTGCTGGATGGGGGGTACCTGAGAGGGGCTGTGATGTCCGCATCCACCCTGGGGCTGCAGCCATTTGTCCTTCAAAACGGAGTCTCCTGAGACAAGACACAGTCTGAAAACCACTGCTTTGTACGATGTGGAGACACGTGGGGTGGGACACAGCATACTCTCAACACCGTCAATGAAGACTCTGCCTTATGTTTTGAACGAAGTAAGTAATGTCATGACTTTGAACAGACCAGAGCACAATTTAAACTCTAGAAAGAATTTTTTTGAGTGGAGGTGTTTTTCAATGGTCAATGTAATGATGGGGGCTCTTCCAGGCTGGTGGTCCTGAATGGAAAGGAAAAAGCCTGGTCCTAACGTCTTGTTCTCGGTGGTAAGAAAGCATGGCCTTATCTTCATGCAGGTAAGAAGGAATATAGAAATGAAAATTTTGAGTAGGAGACAGAAAACACCTCTGAACTTGTTCTAAGGTGAGACACAACAGGCATACCAGATTAGAGTGACGAAAATTTCCCAAGGTAAAAGAAATCTCCAGGGCCAACCAGGAACCTGCAATGAAAAATTCCTAAATGTAAATGCCAATCAAAGCTGGCATTTACACTGCATGGCTAGCAAGGGATGCACTGAGAGACCATCTCTAGTAGACTATTGCAGAGGTAAATGTGGAGGAGCCCAACGTGTGGACATCTGGGCAGGAGCAGAGGGAGCGAATGTTCCCAGCTCTGCAGCAGCAACGGTCTGGTGTGTGGTGATGGACAGATCAAATGTCACATATCTAAAAGAAATGAGTTTGTCCCTGGCTGTACATGTGTATCTGAACACACAGGGGGTGTGTATGCATAGAAGAGACTGGGCAGGGTCTTAGGCAACAGTATGAGGATATGGTTATTATTGCAGGTGAAATAAAAATATTAAGGCCAGGATTTTTTTTCTGACTGAAATGTCCAAAGATGTGTTGGTTAGTTTTATGTCAGCTCGACACAAGCTAGAATCATCTGGGAAGAGGGAACCTCAATTGAAAAAAAAATGCCTTCATCAGAGTGGACAAACCTTTGGGGGTACATTCTTGATTCATGATGGATGTGGGAAGGCTCGGTCCACTGTGGTGCCACCCCTGGGCAGGCGGTCCTGGGATGTCTAAGGAATGTATGAGCAAGCCAGTGAGCAGCTCCCCTCCATGGCTGCTGCATAAGCTCCTGCCTCCAGGTTCTTTGCCTGCTTGAGCTCCTGCCCTGATTCCTACGAGATGAAATGTGACTTGAGAGTTGCAAGCTGAAATCAACCCTTTCTCATCCATGGTGCTCTCCTCACAGTAACAGAAACCTAACTAAGGCAGACAGAATGATGATGTCTCAGGTAGAGCAGACACAGGTGAAGGGGAGACTGGCAGTGACTCTGTGATTCGGGGAGGAACAGACAGTGTGGCTCGGCTGGGTGGCGTTGTGTACAGCTGAATGGCCTCTGGAACTCGAGAGAACCCTGTGGCTGCCTTGCATGTAGCTGAGACACCATTGTTAAGGCCCTGGAGACACAACAGGAAATTAAACTGGTTTTCTTCCTTTCAAGTTGGCCCTTGACAGCGAGCTTTATCAGATAGGCCATTTACTTAACTCTGTCTTTCAGCCAACTCTTTGGATTGGTTCTTTGATTTGGGGGGAGGACCCCAGATGGAACCATCCTGCAAGGCTCTGCCAGGGCACCAGGAAATGACATCACTGTAGGATTACAGCCACAACCTGGTGCAGCCTCAGGGACATGGGGACAAAGGTCTTTTATGTGTGTCTCCCTTTCTTTCTCCTGATCATTTTGCATTTATACCTTTTAAATATATTTTCTTAACAAATAATTTAATGACAATTTAGACTAAAAATGCAAAAATAGCATGGAGTTTTATTATTCTCTGCTAAAAATGTTATTGCTGACTTGGACTCTTTTTTTTTCCAGGCATAATTCGATGTGAGAATTACTTTATTGAGATGGTCACATGATTTTCTTAATTTGGGTATTTTGTTTGTTCTTACTAATTATTATTGTTTTAACTACACATATTTATGAGGCACAATGTGATAATCAGATCCACAAATCCAATTTAAAATGATTATGCCCTAACTGTTGGCAAAACACAAGCCTCACCTAGAAGGGAACATGCCATAATTTATTCTTGAGCCAAATGTGAGTGAGCATGACCTAGAAATACAAACATAAGTGTTCATGTCTCAAAAGACAGGCTCCAACTGGATAAGGGTTGCATGAACCTGTCATAGTCACAGAACACAGGAAAGTGGTGAGTCAGTGTGCTTGACTGATACTTTGACAGAAACAACAGGAGGAAAGGTCTGAGTAAAGCAGGAAATCTCTGCCCCAGATGCATATGTCTGAGGCAGAGATTCACAATCAATCGTGTCTGGCACTGTGGGTGGTCTTCACATCACCTTGACTCAATGACTTGGGTACCAAGATAGAATGAATTCAGGAAGTTTGAATCCCAAACAAACAAAACAAGAGGAGGCTAACAGAAGCTAGAGATCTGCTAAGAATATATCCAAAATGTCTTTGCCTGAATGTTAGTTGTGATAGGAATGGCTATTAAGGGGAGTAGAGATAGCTCCAGGCAATTAGACTCTGAATCTGCCACTTTCCAGCTCTCTAGTCAACAAGTTTTAGTCAGTTGATTTAGCCTCTTAGAATCTAATATAGTTATGTTTTTTTCCCTGGGAACTTCAGTTCATGTAAGACTTCTATCTCAGGAAGTGTTTTTAAAAGTTTCTTTATTAATATATAAATTTTATATTATGTATGATATATGGAAATGTTTAGATAAATTGTACATCTAGAAAATATCTAATTTGATTATTGGTTTTGAATCATTTAAATGTTCACGTGTACAAAGAGATTGCTATTATTTTATTTCAAATTTCTCATCTATTTCCTTATAAATAATGGGTCTTTTCACCTACGCTTCTCTCTGTCTTAATTACATTTGTGATAAATTCCAGAAGGTGCCTGAGGTCATCTTCTCTTTGCATACCTTGGGATAGTCATTGTAGCTGGGGCTCACCTTGGAAGCATGCTGATTCTGGCTCTGGGATTTCTTTGTAGGAGCATCTTCAAAGATTCATTTCTACAGTAACTATTCCAGCTTTCTGCTTCTGTTTGCAACAGTTTTGGTGAATGTATTTTCTAGGAATTTGGTGGTTTTGTTGAATTCTTTGTTGGTATGACTGTTTACAGTAGTTTTTATCACTTATTCTCTTTAGATTGAGCTGTTATGTCATCAGTCATTGCAATGTTTGTACCTCATCCTAACTTCCTTCAGCACGCAAAAAAGTCTCAATTTATTTTCCACATTTTTAGTTTTAGAATTGCATCATCTATTACAGACTTTAAAATTCTGTTAGTTGCTGTTTAGATATTTGTTTTTCTTCCCTCTATTATTTTTACCCTCACCAGCTCATGAATCTTCAGCTATGCTTCTGGACATGTGACATTAAGCTTGTAACTGACCTTGTAGCCTGGTTCACCTGGGGTTTGTGTCCTTGTGTCCGCTTTCTGGGTTCAATGTGACCCCATTGGGTTACAAGGCCCTGCTGTCCCTGGGTCTTACCTCCTGAATGTGCTTACTGGTCATTCCTTGATAATGCCTGTATGGCCTTTATGAGCACCTATTTTGAGAATTCTGCTTTTAGTGACAGTTTTCTTGGACATAGTCATGAGACTCAATGTTTCTGAGAACTGACCTGCCCACACTATTGCCTCCTAAAAAACTAGAATCTACTTGGCATCTGTCACCCTAACAAGAGGGGTGAATCATGGGCTCCCTCATCTTTGTTGATTCTGTGTGGGTGGTTTGGTTTTTGAACTGGTGATGTTACTGATTTTATTCTGAATGTGAATCCTAAGTGTTTGGACCAGGATGTTTTATGAAACATGCATAGTTCCAGGCACAACTGCAAATCTCTATGCCAGAATTTGTTATCAAACTAGCCGGTGAGTCCACAGTCTTTCAGCTTTGTCCAGGGTTCACTCCTATACTCAGCCATACATAACTTCATCACCCAAAAGGAGCAATGTTGAACCCTTTCCTGAAGAGGAATTATGCCCTATGTAAATGCTTGGATATATGCAGACAGCATCCAAGCCGACACGAAAGCTAGAGCTGGGATGCTAAGTATGCTTCATCTCAGACTTAGAGTCTCTATGTCACTCTAACCCAGGAGCCATACTGCATGTCCTCAAGAAGACAATAACTGTGATTCCCTCAATGCTAAATACTCAGAAGGCTCACCTGACCCAAGTGAGCTGTTTCGCAGAAATTATGGCTGTGTTTTCACAACAGAAGAACTTAAGTTGTGGAGCACTTTGCCGCTGGTCTTTGCAAAATATTACTCCGCTTGAGAACATCTGTGTGAGGCAGTGACATTTAATGTCACCCAGTCTTAAAGGCATGAAATGACCTATCCAAGATCACACAGCTACTAAACTGTGAAGAGGACTTTCAAAGATCCAGACTTTTCACTCTTTGCACTCAAAATCACATGAGATACATGCTCTCATGGTTTTTATTTGGGCTGTGGTCATGGTACTGGTGCAATTTTGCTTGGTTCTGGTGATAGACTCCTACTTACAGCATCAGGCACCCTTCACAGAGAGACATTCTTCACAGGTTCAAGAGAGGGCCAAGCGTAGGCACCTATAGACTAACACAGAGACTGATCTTGTTCCCAAAGCAAGAGGAATCCAGGAAGTTTTCTGTGAGCTCAGCACCTTAGTGTTCATTAGGTGTCACTGTGGATTCTGTGAGGAGGTAGACCTATGTTGAATGGCTCTGACTATGTTTTGGGGACATGCTGACTGTAGAAAGCTCTGAATTTGCAGGAACACTAGAGTAACTCTGTGCCACCCTCATAATCTTGTGTGAATTTGAAGTTGTTCTAAAAATAAAAATCAAGACTGAAAGGTAGACCAGGACTCCTATTTGGAGTTGAAATTTAGTAGATGATTGGCAAACTGTGCCTATAGACAATTACAAATGTATCGAGTGATGGTGAGCTGCAAAATAAATCAAATGACATGATTTGCTCTTTTTATTTTTGTATGAGTAATGGCACCTGAAAATTATGAGCAGAAATTATTTAAATAAGTTGCAAACCACTTCAGATCCCATACATCCTAGAAGTATGGAAGCTTAGTTCTGGCCCTACTGAGAATGTCTTTGCTCTTGAAAATTCTACAATAGGATGTAGAGCCAAGCAACCCCTATGACTGTTGGGACTGTGTGTGTGTGTGTGTGTGTGTGTGTGTGTGTGTGTGTGTGTGTGTGTGTGTGTGTGTGAGAGAGAGAGAGAGAGAGAGAGAGAGAGAGAGAGAGGTACTTTCTTTTGTCTACGTTTGGTTTGCATTTGT